CCTCGTTCCAGACCTTTTGTTTGACTGCTCGCGCGTACTGGAATACGCAAAAAATACGGACTGTTTTGCAGTCTAATTTGATAATTATGAAAGTGTAATTTTTATGCATAATTCGGAATGTTGCGGCCTGTGTTGCTACGTCTCAGTGTGATTAAATAAGAAAATAAATCTTCAATCAGTCCAAAACTAACTCTTTAACACACGGTTAGTTTAGAAGCGTTTTTACCAATTCGACATATTGCAACCAAAACACTAGGGTCGGTTATTTAAACAAAGTCTAACTTAGGTTGCGTTTTAACAAATCTTTGGATCTTCAGATCTCTTCTTTAGTGAGTTATATCAGGAAGACAAGTGCCTTTCTAGTCTATGCTTTATTTCTTCATGAAACTGTTCACGATAAACGGTGTTTTGATAAAAGCGTTTGGCAAATTGAAAATGGCTTTTTGTTAGAACGCGGTATTTCGGCTCCACTACGCAGTACAACATGAATAGAAAAACCATTAGGTTTATTTGGGCTGTTTCGGCCGAGCACCGCAGATATAACAATACATTATACAACAACCTAGCACCGCACATATAACAATACATTATACAACATCTTCTATTACATTCAAACATGTGGTGTAAGAACAAGAACAGAGCTGAGCGACAGTTTACACAGAATACTGTCAGAACAGAGCCCAGAAAAAACCTGCCAGAAAAAAACCTCAGTAAGGAAAAAAACTCGGCAGGAAATCTGGGTAGGATCCATGGCTCATGCTTTGAAAAGCCCATCCTACGAAGGCTACACGGCTGGAAGGACTTTGCCCTTATTTGCAAAACAAGTATTCCAACAAAGAACGGCAAACTCTAAATAATTTAAGGAAACGCAAACAAGCTAAGAAACCCCTGGAAAAAACGAACTGCCACTAGTAAATCGAATATATACTAAAATAAATAAATAAATAAATAAGTAAATAAAAAATAACATGAACTAGAAGCGTGCGAGGTGTCGGCCTAGAATGCTTTCCCACGTGATAAGCATCCGTTTTATAGCGCTCCATTCTACCCATACTGCACTTCAACTGCCCCAGTCCCCACTGCTCCCGAACTACTCCCGTGCCGCAGAAATATTTCATTTCCGGCTAATTCGTATCCACTCAAACGCTGGAAATTCCATTTTGTTAAACAATGGCTAAACTCCGTTTAACTAACCGGCCCTTAACTTCTGTCCGTTCGACAAAAAACTATTTTTTTGTTCAAAATATATTAAATAGTCTTTATTGATAGTTTCCAGTGGTGCATATCGCACCCTCGCCTAGTCCATTGGACTTAACATTTAGGCATAAACATTTTATATACTAAGTAAGGACTGTATTTCTGAAATGTATTAATGGACTTATATTTTCGCAGATGCTCAGTTTCTCAGTCAGTTCAGTGGATCTTTCCGATGCGAATTGTCTTACTGACGTCTTCCAAGATTATTTCATTGCCTCAGGATGACTACATTTTCATCTGAACAACTTAACTTTTTCAAGTTTTCTACTGTAGTATTCGAAGAATTTCCAATCGCCTTACGTCAGGTATTTGCGCACTTATGGGACGTACAACTCGCCCCTCCGCCTGGCTTTCTAAAATGGGACGATTCGCCATTGGTTCGAAATTTGTTTCTGAATAACGAAGGAGGAAAGACAAGATATGTTCCAACAGGTAAATCATATCACGACTGGGACTGCACTGCTCTCTTTGAAGCAACGCTCTATTCTAAAAGTTGTTCTGTGTCAGATGGGAAAGGGGGAGTTGCTACCTTGGCCAAAATGTACGTCGCACCCCGTGGGGTACCAGATGGAGTATTCCACCCCGCTGTTTTGAGCCCTTCAGGAAACCAAGACGAGACTTACGCCTTGGCACTGGACCAGCTTCGCAGGCTAAGAAACACCCTTTGTCACCAGAACAGTACGAAAGAGATTGTGAAAACAGACTTTGATCGCTACATTCAGCTAGCAAAAGATGCTTTTCATGCACTTGGACTAAAAAGCACAAAGATTGATGACGTGGGAAAGCTTGCTGAAAAAGACTTTCCCACTGCCAGGCTTCAACGGTTAGAAGAAGAACTCCGGGTTGAGAGGTTCAAGCCAATTGAGGATATGTTGGACCAAATGCGACGCGATGGGACAGAGGTAAAGAAGGGTGTAATACACGTAAAGACAAAAGTAGAGGACGTCGAGACAGAAGTGAAAACGGCAGTAACAGTTTTGAAAGAGACAGTAACAGTCGCACAAGAAAAAATGGAATATGTCGGAGCCGACTTGAAATCAGCAGTAAAAGAAGTACACGCAAAAGTGGAAGATGTTGGAGTTGACCTAAAAACGGCAGTAACAGACGTGCAAACAAAAATGGAAGAGGTCGGAACACATGTGAAAACGGTAGTAGCAGACGTGCAAACAAGAATGGCAGATGTCGGATCGGACGTGAAATTGGCAGTAACAGACGTGCAAACAAAAATGGAAGGTGTCGGAACTGAAGTGAAAACGGCAGTAACAGACGTGAAAACGAAAATAGAAGATGTTGGATCCGACGTGAAAACGGTAGTAAGAGATGTCGGGTTCAATATTGACCTCATAAGACAAGCAATGCAAGACAGAGTTTCAGAAGGTAAGCTGCTACTAAACAAAAAGTTGTGTCATATTATTATACAATAAGGTGCAATAGTTATGAATCCCGTAACTGGCTTTATTTGTTATAAACTTTTGTTACATTTCCTACTCTCTCAAAATCCAACCAAATGACCAGTAGAACCCTTTGTTAAGATGTCATATTTTCTCGCTGCTCGCTTGCTTTTTTCGCTCATCTGCACTAACCGAGAGCCCGGCACAGGCTAGTTAACAACAAAACATCGTATATAAAAGGGAGCTCCTAATAATAACTGTACGACTTTTGAATTCGCCTTGATATTTGATTTGGCTTTCATAACCAGTCACCTAAACCAGTGTCCTCTGATAACTGTGCCCGATCAGTTTTACGTTAGTGTCCTGATAATTACCACTAACGCCGGGAGAAACTGGTATTGCTTGTTTGTGTGTATCAGTTCTACCATTCAATTTGTAACTGAAAACCTGACGGATCTAGGGGAGGGGCCTGGGGAGCCCAGGATCCCACGTTATTTTTAGGCCAAACTGAAGCCTGGACGATCGGGAAAATTATTTTCGAGGCCAGGCCCCTCTCGGCTTATCTTAGGGACTGGACGAGTAGGTCTCCCACTTACTTAAAAGCTCGGAAAATAGGGATATTAATTATATTTAACCGTGGACTAAGTAAAGCAAGATGAAGAAAGAATTGATTATTATTGTGTACACATTTATATTCTACCTCTATCACTCTTGCTCTCTGGGAATCTCCCGAGAATGTGCGAGTGGAATTTCAGTTAAAAAAAATCACATTCACCACTTGCACATCATACGAAAATTTATGCATTTTTTATTGGGGGTTGGGAGGGGGGGGGGTGGGGGGGTGGGGAGCAAGCAGGGTGCATATTGGGGGGGGTGCAAAGGGCGAATTGGACTGCCTTAGACATGTTAGAAGAGACTTTCTAAGCGCCGAAAGATAATGTCTCACGATAGTTACATTGCTTGACATTGTTCGCAACGTCTCGACTGCTTACCTCTGGTTATGAACAAGCATGGCGAGACTACTAAATCAGACCTACACACAAACCTAAAATGTAGGGTCTACTTAAAATACATAAGCGTTACACAAGCTTCTGGGTCAGTGTTTAGAGGTTTGCATACCAATTTGTCATCCCACGTAGGCTACATCTTACTTTATTGACACTAGGTTGTTCAGATTGTGATACGTGACTCAGAATCGAAATCAGACCAATGAACCACTTTTCTAAATCAAACTTTAAAAAAAACCAACTCAGTTAAAATCTATGAAAATTCGTTTAATATATCAAAAGCAATGTTTAATAATGTGCTTGTGCTTCTGAGGGTTTCCGTTCAATTTGATCTTTCGAAAAGAGGCCAGGTAAGCAAACTGATACAACACAGAGGATGGTAAACCTGTGGTGCTACTGATAACTAGTCACATACAATCATCTCTTGAAGGTCAGAAATACCAGCGATCGAAACGTTACAATCAATCTCAAAGTGACTTTTGTGAAACAAACAGTAACAAAAACTTTCATCGCTTTCGGCCACAGAGACCGTTCGCGAATACAGGACCATACAGCAACAGTGTCTGCGAACAGCTCAGAAATGGCCTCAGAAACTCGTTGCACACACTCCATATCTGTCAGAGGTAGAGCTCTTTTAAACACCTTCCAAATCCGTGCTATCTTTCAAACAAGGTGTTGTTAGAATTCAGTTTTCCTCTTGCTATTATAGTCTGAAGCACAGTAACAATATAAACTACTTATTTTTCTTTTTAAGGCCCTAACGCTCCCCAGTCACGTATACCTGACAAAATACCAAACTTTGTTGGTCGTCAAGAAGAATGTAAAGAAATTCAGAATCATTTGACAGGAGGAATCACTCGAATCGTCAACGTGTGGGGTCCACCAGCATTCGGAAAGACATCAGTGGCCATAAACGTAGCACATCAATTGAGAGAAAATAACATTCCAGTTTACTTTTTACCCCTCCGCGGTATGACAACTAAAGAGGACTTAGTCTCAAAGTTGCTCAGTACGTTTGCAGACAATAATCAGGTACCTCATACTTCCCCATCTGACTGGCTTATTTGGCGCTTACAGCAACTGCAAAATCGGCAAAATCTTTTAATCTTAATCTGGGACAATGCCGATGATTTACTTCAATCGGAAGATGCCAAACAGAAACAAGATGTGGTTCAATTTATTCATGAAATTCTTGCGCAGTGTTCTCATATCAAACTTCTCCTTACCACTAGAGCTTCCTTAGACTTCTTGAACCTCACGATTCCCGTTAATCTAGCGAAAATTGATATGTTGGACGAAGTTTCTTCGGCAAGTTTAATAAAGTTACTTTTACCAGATGTGACGGAAGATATCTGCAAATGCATAGTACAGGAATGTGGACAAGTTCCCCTTGCCATGCGATTAATGTGTAACATCATAAAAGAAGAACACACTTCCATTAGTGAGCTTTCAGAAGAACTGAGGAATTCAACGCTCGTTAACGTTTTGGATGACGAACGTTTTCCAGCAGATATTCGTCTAAAAATACTAATTAACAAATCGTTCCAAAGACTCTCGATTCAAGAAAGAAAAGCCTTTGTTTCTCTAACTGTTTTTCCTGGTTGGTTTAACACAAATGAAGCTACAGCAGTGTTAGATGTCAAGACAGACCGAGCAACCAAGAAAATTATTCGCTCCCTCGAGCGAAATTCCTTGATCAGCTGTGGGGAAAGCTTTAGCCGATTCACAATCCATTCACTCTTCCGGTCCTTTGTTGAAGAACAGAGGCGAAATGATAAAACAATTGAAGCCATACTCTATTCAGCCCAGCATCGGTTTAACGACTATTACATCTCTTGTTTTACAAATGCTAATGAAAAATTTTTAACGGGACCATCCAATGAAGCGTGGGAAATGTTCGCGGGGCGGCGAGAGAACATCCTCTTTTCTATTACCAATGGAATAAGAGACGACGACCTCTATTCCAAGATTGTAAAGGTACTGTCTGTGGCAGAACTATTTCTCTATGCCGTATTGTCAAATGAGGTAGCGTTGTTCGAACAGCTTTATGACACAGCCTTGTTAGAAGCAAAACAAAGACAAATGGTCGAAGATGAATGGTTGTTGTTGGCCTCAAAGTCATTTCGCTATTGGGGCTGGTTTTCTTTGGATTGGCAGCCCTGGGACGATTCCCTTTCTGCTGATTACTCCAACAAGGCTTATTATCCGGCAAAACTCATTTGTTACCAAAGCATTTACCAGCTACTCTGTGGAAATCGTGAAGAGGGCATAATGTCTATTTTCAGCGCTTTAGATGGATTAAGTTGTTGCCGTAATGATGAAATTGTGCTAAAGCACCTTATTTTCACATTGCTTGAACGCATTCTCGATACAGAAGAAGCAAATGCCCCACCATTTAGAAAGCTACGCGATGAAAGCCACTCTTACTGGGAGGCCAGAATGTCAAGAATACTTGAAACGCCCGACCTTCACAGCTTTCTCGACAACAAGGATCTGTTCTTTTTGACTTTATTGCTTTCTCCTTTCTCGGCATTGGATTACAGAATTCGTGCGGAGGATTATGACATGCTTTTTGTTCTTAGCAAACTCATTCCAAGGTTCTGTGAAAACCAGGTGCCAGAAAACCTACCAGGTGAGATACGCTTCTTGATTTCCATATTTAAGGAATCCTTCGAAACGCTGTCACCCCTGTTTCCTGAGGTAAATTGGTTTACTTTGGAAAGTGCCACACAAGCTCAGCTTGAGTCCCTACGCTTGCATTTTCTAGAATTCACAGATAAAATTCTACAGAGTGGCGTCGATTCAGAGCAGAGCTACATCGCAACCAAGCTGCTCATGAAAACACTTTTGCAATGCCTTGAACTCTTTCCGGATTTCCCATCATTTATCACAAGTACAGGAGGGAAGAATGTTGTGAAATTTTTCAATGATACCTTTGACGAGGTTTTAAACCGCTCAAGCGAAAGGGTCCCTGATACAGATCTTCTAGACCTTGCAAGAAGTTATGACAGTCTAGGCAAGTTAAAGCACCTCTTTATCGGCAGCAGTGCAGCAATAGAGTCTCAAAAAGAGGCCATAAGAATAAGAGAAGAGCACTTCGGAAATCATATTGACACAGTGGCAAGTCTGATAGACGTAGGGTGTAGTTACCTTAAAATAAACAATGAAATCGAAGCTGGCAAAGCATTTGAGAGTGCTTTAAATTTGAGGAAACAGCTGGGAGTTTATGATCACGAGCACACTGCATACATTTATGCTTTAATCGGAGAAAACCAATCAACCAATGCTAACTACGAGGAAGCACTTAATGCTCTCCTCAAGGCTGTTAAGATTAGAAAGGAGCATTTAGGACAACACCGACTTACCGCCAAAACTTTAAGCGAGGCAGCGAGTGCTTATTTTAAACTACAAAGCTACCCAGAAGCTCTTCAGTGTTGTGAGCAGGCTTTTGATATGAGGCTTGACCTGTTAGGAGAGGATGTGGACACAGCTGACAGCTTCAATCTCCTGGGATGTATCCATTTTAAAATGGGTGAAAATGTGTCAGCAATTCAGAGTTTTGAAGGAGCTGCAGAAATGAGAACAAAGCTGCTTGGTTACCACAAAGACACCGCTTGCAGTTACCACAACCTTGGTGTAGTGCAAAGAGAAGTGGGAGACCAACACGGAGCGTTGGGTTCCCTACAGAAAGCGGCAGACATAAGGTCAAAACAGCTTGGCAGTCATGTAGACACTGCGAGTAGTTACCACTGGCTTGGTGTAGTGCAGCGTGACATGGGAGACCTCCGCGGAGCCTTGGTTTCCCTAAGGAAAGCGAAGGACATGAGGTCAAAAAAGCTTGGTCGTCATGTAGACACCGCAAGCAGTTACCATCTCCTTGGTGCAGTGCAACGTAATGTAGGAGACCTGCGCGGAGCGCTAGGTTCTCTAAAGAAGGCGGCAGACATGAGGTCAAAAAAATATGGTAGTCATGTAGACACTGCGAGCAGTTACCACTGGCTTGGTGTAGTGCAGCGTGACATGGAAGACTTTGATGGGGCTTTGAAGTCCCTAACAAAAGCGGCAGATATAAGATCAAAAGAACTTGGGGATCACAAAGACACCGCGAGCAGTTATCACTGGCTTGGTGTAGTGCAGCGTCATATCGGAGAAGACATCCCTGGAGCTTTGGGGACTCTAGAGAAAGCTGCAATTATGAGATCTAACCTCCTTGGTGATCACGAAGACACGGCAGACAGTTACCACAACGTTGGTGCAGTGCAGTACTTGATGGGAGACCACAAGAAAGCTTCGGAGTTTCTACAGAGAGCAGCGCATATGAGATCAAATCTGCCTGGCGATCAAAAAAACACGGCGTCCACTTACCACTTGCTTGGTTCGGTTCAGTATGACATGAAAGATATAGACAGCGCCGTGGAATCTCTACAGATGGCGTGGCAACTCAGAGATGAATTGCTAGGTGAACATCACCCCGACACAGTTGACACCTTACAGCTACTCAGTCGGGTGTGTGAAGCTTCATTACTGCACAGTTAGATTATGCTTTGGCGCGTCGCCTTAAAGGCACGCCAGAGTTTGCATTACATAGTCCGTTACATAAACTAGGACCCATCAGACGGTTAAGGTAATAAGACTGCATAGATTCTCATGCAAACTGGAATCTCTACCAAGGACCTTTCTTTGCTTGTAAGCTCTGAAAGACCGACAGCTATAAAAACTCGTTCGCTCAGTTGAACTTATCTTAACGATCCACCTATGCACGTGGTTTGTTTGGATTGCAAAGTAGAATCAGGTCTAACATTGGCTAAGAAAGACTAATGTACAGTTGGAAATATAGAAAGCACGATTGCAAGAATGTACTATAATTATCAAGTTCAATTTCGCGATAATTGGCCGAGAAATTTATATATTGTCTCCTTTATGTGTACTGATTTTGCCCCTTCCTTCACTTGTTGGTAGATAGCCAGGGAAATTATTCGTACTATCGGTAGTGAACTTGCGAGGCTAATGCGATAAATGTCATTTAATATATTTGCATTTGAACAGATTTCCCGCTTTGACTGGTCTGTAGTACCAGTTCATTACAAAAAACCGATTCCTTCCGCGAATTGAACCCTATCAAGAAAATGTCGGTGCTGGGTATCTGCCTTTGTTTTAGACACATTTACGCACTTAGCCTATCGCGTTTTGTTCGGTGGGAAAAAAAGGGGGCTTGTCGTTCTTTTACATGGAATTTCCTCACATGTAAATAGGACTAGGATGATGGTAACACTGAATGATGTTGTGACAACCAGTGCAGTAGGAGACTGTTCGCATCCTTTGTCATGCAAACTGTAAGTTTCAGCTCGCACGTTTAGCGAATAAGAAACTGAGGGTTGTGAACAGTCTAGTACAGAAAGTCGTAATCATGTGAGTGTTCCTCGTATGAAGGCTTCCGCAAAGGTTGTCAAAACGTCTCTCACTGTTAGCTAAAAAAGAAAATAATATTCCACCTATTATGACTTGGTTTCCAGTAATGGTTCCTTCAAACTATTCACAATACAGTGTTATCATTCAAATAAAGGCTTTTTGACATAACTTTCAACCAGCACTATTGTTTTTATTTTTTTTACAAAACAACGCATGAAGAGACAAGGATGAGTGAAGATATCTACTTTCAGTATAATGAATATTACCAGACTGGATGACAAGGGCCAACTACAATTATTTGATCTGTGTTATATCAAAACAGCAAGATAGCGTCTACGTTTTGGCAAAGCATAGGACATTAAAAAAAGCTTTTCAGGCAGGTGGGTAAAACCCGTTACTCGTAGAAATTGCGTCCCAGTGCTTCCCAGTGCTAAAGTTTCGAAGAGTCCAGTGCTTTAGTTAAAAGCGTATTCAGCCTTCCCACCATGCTACGCGGGTCATACAGCAGTCCTGCAGACATCATGGCATTATCAAAGAGCTGCAAAAAAAAAAAAACAATAAAATTAGTCGTCAGTTTTAATCACTTTGAAAGATAAAACCATAGTGCCTAAGCCCTACGGAAAATTTAAGTTTCCTACTCGTTTACGTGCCAAATTTTATGTTGTGCAAAACACGTTTTTTAGAAATAGTAATACATGATCTATCTCTATTGCTCGGCGAAAAAAAAACAACAACAACAAACACACAAACAAAAATCAAGTTCGATCGAGAAATCATCTGCGGCAAGCCATTTCCATAAAATTATCTAGTGCGTAATTACTTCACGCGCCCTGACAAAAAGCGGGTGCTCGGACCGCCAGCAATAATAAGACTACGAAAGGTTCCTCCTCTGCGAGCCAAGCGCAAAGCACACACAGGGAGGGCGTCCGAACCTTCTGCCACGAGACTGGACCTAGCCCGCCGTCTCACATTCCCTGAGTTTAGTTCTTTTAGCTCTCTTTGAGGAAAAGGTTAAAAAAACCATGGAGCTTTTCACGAACAATTTGTAATCAAACTCCGAAGTCACCCTAATCAAAAGAGTATTACCATTAATACTGTAAGACTGACCTGATTAACAACCAGCACAGCTAAATCTGTATTGACTGACCGAACCTCTTCTAAATTTCTGATTAATTCATGGCTGAAATAGAAAACATCACCACATTGTTATTTGGTCCTTACTAAGCTTATGCGCTACTTAGACAGGGAGGTCTCCATTTAATATTTTTAAAGTCGTAATGTCGCTAAGTGACTGGAAAGAAGCCGCTAAATGAACAATATTGAAACACGACATCAACGATTTGCTCGAATGTCAAAATAAGGACAAAGGTTCCTCCTCTGCAGCAACTAAAAAACACAAATAATTTTGTCACCTATTAAACGTAAGAATATGAAAGCTGAATTTCTTCTGCACGTTTAAACGTACAGGACAGTATCCAACCGGACAAGATGAAGACGCTACCTAGTGGACAAGCATTAACTAAAGCATCTGGGTAGCAAGGCATGCAAAAAACCACAATCACTTCATTGTACTTAATATAAAAAAACAAAGCTCTACCAACTACCCAAGATAAATCATAGCTGATGAAAATACCTTGGGTTTATTTCCAGCGTAGGTTGAAATATCTGATACTTTGCATTGTCAATGTCCTGGAACTGCTCAGCTCTCATGACTTTAAGCCAGTGTTTAGCGGCCACCATGTCTGGTACAGTCACCATCACTGGGTGGCTTGTCTGACTTAAGTGCTTGGAAACCTAACATATCAAATCAAAATGTTGACAATGAGCGCTCATGTTATAGTCGTATTCATCTGTGTTCTAAGAATTCTCTTTGCTTGCAATATTTCTGCCTTTTTGAGCTTTGCAACTGACTTTAAAAACCTTCGAATACTTATTTATTTCTTGGTGTTGCGGATTCGCTTCAAATCCCGATTGCTTCGGTTAATTTTGTTGTTAATTCTGTTGTTTTCCAACACATGTAAGAAAGAACAGTTTTTAATGCTCTCTTTTACTACACAAAGTTCCTTCACATTAGTGATAATGACCATGGGATGGTAAGGCTTCATGTTCCCACCCGGGTGTTCCCATGGTTTCACCCTGCTACATACATCCTTAATCATATCAACACTAACCTTAACAGCTGAGACTTTCTGTTTCCCCAGTATAATACTGATCCAGTTGGCCAATTCCGTAGCTTGTTCCTCCGTCAGAGATTCTGTTGAGGAATGAAATCAGTTCTCATAATACAAATGTGACCTATTTAAAACCCGACAGAAAAACGGTTATAAGTCTATTTCTTTTACAAGACATGATACACACCTGATGCGTCTTGTGTTTGAGTGGTATCGTCCGTTGGTTCAGTGGGTGAAGGTTCTCTGTCAACTGAGAAGTAATTCTCTGCAGCCATGATATTCTTCTTGTCAAAAGTCTTTAAATAATGCAGTGTTACGTCATCTTGTTCATTATACGTGAACAAAACCTAGAGTAACAATAAACAATGTATTGCTTAGAGGCCTTACAATGTAAGCAAAACACAAATCTTGCATACGCAGATCTCGGCAAAAATAAGTAATTGTAATAATTATTGTAATATTGTATCGACTCATATTCAAACCAACCTCTACATCATCTTTCTTCAAAGCTTCGTAGTAAGGAGATGTTTCTGCCACTTCGCGACTGAAAGAGGGAGGGAGAAAAAAAATGATTGACCGATTTAGCCCTAAAATATTTAGTGCAAGGCGCTGGCCAATATTTTTCAAAATTTTACGAGTCAAAACGAGGTGTGGAATGTTGGGGAGAGCAATGAGAAACTCTAACAAAGGACATCCCCCGATTAGAAAAACCTACTAAGTTATCCTGGTGCATATCTTACAGTCTCACCACTTAGGTATAAAATCTAATTCACTTCCCAAAACCATTGACTTTTGTAAGTTGTACAATAGAACCTTTCACATGTCGGTGTACCAAAACAATATGCAGCGCCTTTATGCTGGTGTCCCAAACCGGTACTGTGTACCCTGTGTACAGACCCCCCTCCCCTCAGTAAAACTCGGATTCTCCGACTTTTACTGAGGGGAGGGGGGTCTGTACACAGGTTAGTAGTGTGGGAATTGAACTCTTTTTTACCTAACTGCTTTCTTTTATCGCAATAAATTTGGTTATGGTCACATGAGTGAAAACGCTTTATATTCGGCCCTGGATGTTTTTGAAGTACAGTACTGTGCAATAACTCCAAAAATAGAGACGTGGTAATGAACTCACAAGAAAGAGAGTTATACCTTGGAGCACACAAATAATAGATATTCTTCTGTGCGGGTTTCATTCTTGATACATATGATGGTAGTGACGTAAGCACACCAGACTTCTCGTTCGATGATTCAAACAGAAGAAGCTTTGCTATATCCTGTTTCTGCTCATCACTTTCAGCACTAACAATCCCTTCACGGAAGAATATTCCACAATCTTTAAAAAACTTTTCATATTTAACTCTATCCTTCTTTTGTTGTTCCAGCAAAAATTTGATAATTCTTGCTGACAGTACGTCACTAAGTTTCTTGATTAGAGCACTATCTTGAAGCAGCTCTCGACTTAGATTTAGTGGGATATCTTCACTGTCCACAACTCCTTTTACAAAACGAAGCCAGTTTGGCAGAACCTTGTGAGCTTTGGATTGGATTAGAACTTTCCTGCTGTAAAGAGACACGCCATGTTCCATGTGTTGCACTGTAAACAACTGTGGAAGAGTATCTGGGATGTAAAATATACTGCGAATATTCAAAGGTGCATCTGTCTTGTAGTGTAGAATGTATCTTGGCTTGTCATATGTCTTGCCAATGAACTGATAAAATTCCTATTGAAAAAAATGGAATGAAAGACAGATCAAAGTCATAAAAGCAAACGTTTATCTTTCCCCTTGTGTAAACTAGTAAAGTTGTTGTGTTCAACTGTTGTATTTTGCCTTCTTCTTTCAATATTACCCGTATTTTGTGTTCAGTGGCCATGGTACAGGGCCGGGTTGTTCAACCCAGATAAGTGTGAAATTTGAATTCAGTTATGAAAGCTTAAAAAGCAAATTCAGTTCAATGCTATTTGTCTATAATTTGATTTAAGGATGCTCTAAATGGAATAGAGAAAATTATTGGAGAACATTCTCTTGAACAAAAGAAAACGAAACCCAGATTAAGATTTAACCCCAGGTTGGCTCTAATTAGCCTTGGAACAACTGGGCCTTGACATAAAGGCTATGAAAGAAGATGTGACTCTTGAAACATATCAGGTTTAGAATCCCTGGCAAATCTTGTTTCTTCTTATCAAAAACCTGATGTAAAGAGCCAAAGGATTTGAATGAGAGGCTTAAACAAATTCAGTTCAAGTGAAAATTTGATATGTTTCTATGGTAACATGTTACATCGTAACTGACCTCATGTTCCTCTTGAGTTATGCTTTTAGGATCCAATAACCATAATGGCTGAAAAAAAGGAAAATTACCGCCAGTAAGAAAAAGTAAACAAGCACTCTAGGAAAAAATACGTCACAGGGAAAGAATATTTTTCTACAAATGTCAGTAGAGCTGCCATACAACTATATGATATCAACCTGAATTGTGTTTATACACATGCCATCCAAGTAAATTGGGAAGCCCACAAAATTACTGTATTTCTTAATAGTATCTGCAACAAATGAACCAACAAACACAAGTTAGTCTCCTGTAGCCCAGTTGTAGAGCACCTGGACTAGCAACCAGAAAATCAAAGATTTGACTCCTGTTGAGAAAACTCGATCAGCTTTCTTTCTGGTCTCCTGTGTCACAAACTGAAACAGCAGTGTTCTAATTTATTCACCAAAGGCTTAACTGAAACACATGTTAATTACTATAAATTACATTTAAAACATCAGAAGGCATTGTAGTATATAACTGACCTTCAACTGCTGTGTTAAGAGAAAAATTTCTGTGGTCTTCTTTCAGGTGTATAACAATCTTTGTTCCACGAGAAACATTTTCTGCCTCAGCAATCTCATATGAACCAGAGCTTAAGACAAAAATGTTTTTAAGAATCAGATGAATATCTTACTGCCATGGATAACCTTTGCCAAGTAAAACTGTATAAGTAGATGTAGATTCTATAGCTGCAGCTTTAGATGCTAGAGGTCAAATTTAAATTCCGGTGAAAATTTTTAAACCTAGATTGATTCTCTATTTCCTTTGTCTCCTAGCCCTAATTATTCATGAATTGGGGCTAAGACACAAAACATAGATGTAGAATGTATAAAAATAACAGCAATCAACTCAATGCAATTTCTACTTACATTAATTTTTATCCTTTTTTTCTGAAAAACCACTCCTTTTCTTCCAAACCAACCTTTCCCCCTTCCATGTCAGGCCACCAATAATACTCAGCGAGAAAGCCCTCTTTTGTTTTCTTCATTTCTCACTTGGCCCTACAGCTGTTCCCAACTGAGCCAAGAATTTGCCAAGAAAGCTTACTTGCAGGTTAAAAACTTGTCATTACTAGTACACTGAAAATAAGAACTCTTACCCATCTGAAGTCCACAGAAGACCTTTGCTGCCAGGAATATAAGAACGCGTGTACACATCAACTCTATCAGCAACCATGAACGTGGAATAGAATCCTACACCAAACTGTCCAATGATGCTCTTTTCTCGTGAATCGCCTTTCCCTAGTTTACTAAGTTCGTCAAGGAAAGCTTTTGAGCCAGACCTGGCGATAGTACCTAAGTTATCAACTAACTCTTGTTCAGTCATTCCTATTCCATGATCCTTAATTGTCAGAGTTCCTTTCTCCTGATCTGTGGCAATGTTAATTTCAAGAGGAAGCTCATTTTCTGCAACATCTTTTCCAGTCATGAACTGGTACTGTAGTTTTTCTAGGGCATCTGATGCATTAGATATCACCTCACGAATGAAAACCTGAGATAAGAATTATGGAGATTATTTTTAGTCTTGTTTTGGTGACACATGTAGGTGCTTAGCATGTCCAACAACAACGCAGAGCTTTTTCTGCTTTCTGTAAGCTTCTTTAGTATAAACCAGCTGTAATCCAGAAGGATTCCTTCTTAGAAGAGCATGTGCCAAGTTGTTTACCTGAACAACTGACAACTGAAGAGAGTGAAGGAAAACCCTGAATAAAGCTCAGATTCTGAAAAAATCCAATGTATTCTTCCAGAAAATTATCAGCACATCTGTCTGTTAACTGTGAGTGCAAAACTTACATGTGAGAATGATCTCAATTTAAAGGACATACTAGTAGTAGTTAAAGGTTACATGCATTCTTATCTTTTCCCAAACATTTATTACTACGTAGTTTTTGAAATAATTTATATATATTGATGTGTAGCCTTATTCATCATAGTAAGTACCAGTACCTCTTTTTCTGAGTAAAGCGTTCTGGCTACAATATCCAACAGCTGTCTTGTTTCTGCCTGAAATTCATGTTTTTGAGATTCACCTGATGGTAACATGAAGAAAAAAGAAACAAAGGTTTTTTTCTTCTTTGAAGACTATTCATAAAAGAATAGCAAGGCATAAAAAAACATCACCAAAAACTTCTCATGTAAGATGCATTCTAACAACAAGATAATACATTTTGACAGATAAACAGAAATAACTACCCTAACTCAAACACCCATTCAGACTACTTATTGCTCACTACTCTATAATATCATTTGAACTAAGGAATGCAAAAGTACTGCTATTTTTTGAATAAATTATGTAACTGAAGGTTATCCTTACTTCTTATTAAAAAAAAAAAACTATTACATTTCCAAAGGTAACCAACAAACAAAATAATATACAACTGAAAACCAATATGTTTTTCAAAAACTAAACATACCCACAACTTTTTCCTTGTCTGTGATAACATGCACAGTGTCGTCTTCTTCAAAAGCCTCATCCTAAGATGGTAAATAGATCCAACAGGAAAGTTTAAGACCATGGATGCAAACAAGAGAAAAGTAGCCCCACTCTAGCAACACCTTTCCTCACATAAAGAGAACCACAGAAATATAAAAATCTTTAAGTTCCAGGAGTGACCAACATCCATACCTGCCAACTCCCCCAGAGTACAAAAATCTGGAGATGTCTAGAAATCTTTGCATTGTAAGAATGTCATTTTCAATGATGTCTGAATACTCTCCAAAAATCACCCAGAGGCCTTCTGAATGTTCCCAACATCGATAACAGAGGGCAAAAACCACACCAACTTTCTACCATGTATTGTGCAATTTGATTGGTTGATTTCTGACCAATTACAATACTTGTTAAATATATATCAATAATAATTTATTTGATTGCTCTGTTTTACATTTTCTGATCAAGAACAACTCAAATAAGAGCACTAATAATAATAATAATAATAATATTTATAGAGGGAGCCCAACTCGCCACTTCTTGATTTATTTTCGTTTTTGACATCTCAAAAATAGCGAAATTAATGAACAGATTTTGAAAAAAGGCTGCAGTAGGTATTTCCCAGGAGATTTTGGACCCTAACTGGGAGATTGGGAGATTTGATGAAGAACTTGGACACTCCTAGGAAAACCGGGAGAGTTGGCAGGTATGAAGATCAATAAATTACTTTCTTTTAACAAGAGCAATGCACAAATAAGATTAAAGGAAATGAGAAATGTTAAAATGATTGTCAAGAAAATTGTTTTGATCTTTTAATAATTCATTCAATGTTATTCTTATGTATTTGCCTGTGAGTTTAAAGGGTTAACACATCAATAGTTGATACATTTTTTGCCTACAAAAACATGCAGAGGTATCCTGTATTTCCAAGGGAAGTAAAAGCCTAAAATATGTCTTTTATTGCATACCAGATGATATCAGTATCACAAGAAAATAAAAGTAAGTAGTCAACCTAACAGTAAATATTTGGACAGTTTAATGTTATTCTTTTAGAGAGAGACAACCTTCAATACATTACTACCTTGGATAAATGATCCTTATCAGTTGAATTATCTGATAAGGCCCTACAAAAAATTCTTGGATAGCTTCTTGCTTCAAAATCTTGACGAGCTGTAAAAGTATAAGTAAGCAAAATATCTAATGAATAAATATATAGGTAAATATGCATCTTCTGAAAAAAAAGAAAAGAAAAATAAATATAGAGGATATTACATGCCCGCTAAATATTTTTCAACGTTTGAAGAGAAATTTCGTATCTCCAAGCGGCCATGTGATGTTCTATTTATTATATAAACACCAATGAACTACCAAACCATTTCACTTTAATAGTTTTTTGGTCTGAAAGGTGCGATTTATTATGTAGCCATAGTAACGGTGATATTTTCACATGTGAAGATAACATGTTATTTTCACATGTGAAGATATCAAGTTTTCACACAAAAGCTCACCTGGTATTTCATTGGTGTTTATATAAAAAAATAAATAAATAACAGTTTAGTGGAAGTATATCGATTAAGAGGGTTCCAACCTGTGTGTACCTTTCTGGACCAAAGTGGAATTTGAAAATTCAAAATGTTGGTTTTAGAGTAGAGGGAAAACTCAGAGCACAATTTAAAGATTCGAAGATTGTAGATTCGAACCCAGGCCACCATGAGTGGAAGAAGGCAAGTTCTCTGACCGTACCACTACATCACCCTTACTTAATCCCCAATAACTATGTTGCACGTCAAAATAAAATTTAGCCATAACTAATTTTACCTAGTTTAATGGTCTATTTCTTTATCGGTTAATTGTTCATGTTAATGCATGCCATGATGATCGTACATTTTTATTTAGAGCGAGAATTAATCGCAAAAAGAACACCACTACAAAGACATTGCTAACAAATCATATAACTCCGCGTATTCTCCTATAAAATTCATGCATTATGGTGAAAAATACATTTTTCTGAGATGACAGGTTACCATCAGAATAACATGCAGAAAGATTAAGATTCAAGCACCACTGGATATGATGAGCTTGATTTTTCCACGTGCACGCTTACCTTTTTGAAAATTTTGTTGAATTGTACGCGCCTTCAGAGGTGATCGAGAAGTACCAAATTTATGCAGTAAGCGCTCACTATGCAAGTATCTGATTTGTGACAAGCGATGAGGTAAAGCACAAGAAGAAATTCGATTAAAATGTCGCATTAAACCCAAGACAGCCGCCATTTTGGATTCTCGATTATTTCGTGTTATATTACATCAACGACCTACCTACATTTCGCACCGTCCGCTGATTTACCAGTCTGAAGTCTCAAGATATTACTCGATTTGTGTCCTCTGTCCTCTGGTCTTCTCTGACCCTGGGCTGTCGTCTGTTTCGTCTGAGCTGTTTGCAGTAGAAAATCGCTATTATGTCCTTTAACAAATCATCAATCAAAACTGTTGACTGCAAAGGAAAGCGCGTTTTGATGCGGTAAGCCATACTTTTGTTTGATGTCAGTTTAGTCCAAATAGCCTTTTTTAATTCACCTTAGATATATCGGTCATATTTTAGCGTCTTTATAAGTTTACTTGGGTAATCTTACTGTTATTAAGAAAATGCCATGTCTTGTTTTCAGTGTTGACTTCAATGTACCACTGAAGGGGAAAGAGATCACAAACAACCAAAGGTATCTTGTAAAATATTGCAGACGTGCGGTTGGTCGCGTACCTGTGTAAACAGTACCCCACCCACCTACCCGTCCCCTATGGCACTGTCCTGTCCCCCATGCCACCTCAAATAGTGGGCCAATATTGGTTCTAGATAATGTGAACGCTCAAAGAATCCGCGTTTTTATTTATTTAGTTATTTCTCCAGGTGTAGGGAAATTATTTTCCTCTTTTTTTCAATTGTGTTTGTTTTTGTTTGTCTATATGTTTTTAAAAATTGCCGAAATCTCAATTCTCAACATTTAACTTTTTGTTATAGTGAATGTAAATGGTATATAGTGGACTATAAAACAATGTACAAATGACCAAATTAATGGAATTCATCTTTTCTCTTCTTGCAATTTATTTCTGTAGGATAGAAAGAATTTGTTATTTGAAAATAATTTCCAACAAATGTTCCAATTAGGTTTTTGTTTGTAGACCCCTTGTAGAGGTCAGATATTTATAAGGCTGATTAACCACTTGTATTATTGGCAAGTGTTCAACTGTGGATAAATGAGTGAAAAAAGATTACAACAGTCATTCTGTCTATAATTTTTCTATTTTTCTAAGGATTGTAGCTGCCCTGCCGAGTGTCCGTCATTGTTTGGATAATGGTGCTCAAAGTGTGGTGTTGATGAGCCATTTAGGAAGACCTGACGGCAAAGTAGTCGAGAAATATTCTCTGGCCCCTGTTGCTGATGAGGTGAAAAAAATATTACAAAGGTAAAAACCAAACATTTTGACCCAGTTATTTGTATATGTACGCTCCCTTTAATTTTTACTTTTTTTGCTCATGAATTATGTAACATTAATTTTCTACATATACAGGGATGTGACCTTTCTTCCTGACTGTGTGGGTCCTGAAGTGGAGGAAGCATGTAAAAACCCAAAGGCTGGTATGATGCTTTTAACTTAGAAGAGGGTGGGGGCAGTTTTCAGAAACCCTGTTTTTTCTTGTGGGTCAATCATTCCAGTTGGCATATTGCTTTATCTAATGCTGATAGCTGAAAGAAGTACAGCCCTGTTATTAGAATCCAAAGTTACTACAGCTTCTGGTTGACAGTTTATGTGGGTGTTGCTTTATACCTTCTGTCATTATCCAGGCAAGTGCCTCTCTCTCAGTAAGGGTGGACCCTTAACTCTGATGGCAATTGAAGGGTTGCATTGAGTAAGTGACTCCAGGCTTTTGTAATGCCAAATTCTTCCTTTGATTTACAAAGGTGTACATGAAAATTAGAAGGAGAATTTAGTGGTTTATGAGAAGCCCTTTGGGAAAAAGTCCAGCCACTCCTTCAATATGCATGCTAACATAATTTGCCATTTACACTTTGCATTATTTTTATTAATAATTTATCAAGGCTCAGTGATCTTGCTGGAAAACCTACGTTTCCACATTGAAGAGGAAGGCAAAGGAGTCGATAGTGAAGGAAACAAGGTGCTACATAGTTTATAGCAATAATTTTGTTTATATTTATAACATTTTTTTGTTTGATTACTTTGTTCAGGATTTTTCACACTTTTTTCTTGATACTGTCAGTGTGGGCACTGTGCTTTTGCCTCTTGTAGGCCAGTTAATGCTATCAACTGAAGGTTCATGACAATTTACTTAGGGGGGAAATTGGATTAAAATACATGGTAGCATTCCATCTAGATTTAAGTAATGCACTCCCAGGTGCTTACTTTAACAGAAACCATGTTGCAGGTGTATTCATCCATGGCTAGCAATATCGATATCAGAACTTTCAAGTTTTTATCATAAAACTGATAAAATAGCCATTGGGAGTAGATGCCTTGGAACTGAAGGAAAGTGCCATTTAGCATGGTGTGGTTTGACAGATTATCTACCAGTAATAACATGAGCTAGCAACAGTTTCTTGGTTGTGTGACAGGTTAAGGCAAGCAAAGAGGATGTGCAAAAATTCCGTGATTCATTAGCAAAGTTAGGAGACATTTATGTTAACGATGCTTTTGGCACTGCTCATCGAGCTCACAGGTAGAGAAACAACATTTTTATTCCATTAACCACTCTGTTATTCCAGCATGTTTGTGATTGATTCTGCTGTGTGTTGTATGTAACCACTTGAACAAACAAAAACAAAATTGATATTTCTTTGCAAAATTTGACTTTGCTTGGTACACAGAGATGCAAGCTTTTGTATTCCTTTGACTGTAGTGGCCAACTTATACCAGGCTTTTTTTGTATTAATGTTTTTGTAGCTCTATGGTGGGTGTTCAGCTGCCTCAGAGGGTTGCTGGATTTTTGATGGAGAAAGAGCTGGTCTACTTCTCCAGGGCAATGGAGAAACCTGACAGACCGTATCTGGCTATCTTAGGAGGGTGAGTGTAAAATGGCATTGAATATAATTACCTCCTCAACTCAAATTCCTTGCCAGTATCAACAAAATTCACTTTGCTACAACTTTATTCATTATGGTTATCACTTATTTTTGAGCCCATTTTTTTTACTTCATATTTCATATTTACAATTTTAGGCCAAAATAATGGACTCTACAGCACGGCCTTACTCTGTCCCACAAAAAATGTATGAATATCATAATATTAAACCTTCATTAAAAATAATATTTTATAAAGCTCTGCTTTCACCTTTTGCTTTTTACTCTAGTGCCAAAGTAGCTGATAAAATTTTACTTATTGAGAATTTACTGGATAAAGTGAATGACATGATCATTGGTGGTGGAATGGCTTACACATTTGTCAAAGTTCTTCATAACATGGAGGTGAGTTGCAGTTTTGAGCTTTAACTTTAGAAAGGTCTGAAAAGATGCAATCGTAGAGAAGAATATCATGGCTCTTAATCGCCCATGCTTAGATCAGTAAAGTTCTAATTGATAATCTTATCCTTGCTAATGAAATTTAAGGTAAAATTTAAGATCGTCCAAAAAGCAATTGCAACCCATTGGTAATTTGTAACAGTCACCGTATGACTGACAAAATTCAGGCCAATGGTGCAGTAATCCTCCTCCCCTTCTCTTTTCAGTGTTCGGTTTCATGGGTATTTAAGGCTACGTAGGGCAACACAGAAAGAAAAGAATCAAATGTGGAACCTCTTACACAGAAGGCTGTGCACTAACCTCTGCAATGATAGATTCCAATGAAGCACTGACTTTCAGTTATAATCATTTCAAACAACTTCTTTCATTGTTGGTATTTGTGCTTGTGGTTTCCACCCATTTATAGTGTCTGTAGTAACTACAAAAGCTTGTTTGTACTGGTAAATCAACTGTTGATTTACCAGTACAAACAAGCTAGCTGCAATAATTTCTTTTTCAGATTGGAAAGTCACTGTTTGATGAAGAAGGATCAAAAATAATCCAGAAGATTTGTGATAAAGCCAAAGAAAAGGGAGTGAATCTCCATTTACCAACAGATTTTGTCGCTGCTAGTAAATTTGCTGAGGATGCTGAGGTAACAGTTTAGTTTAATTATTTTTATAGCATAGTGTTTATGCTCGAAATAGCCAAGGACGCTGCAGGAAAACATCTTGATTTTTGTTTCTCTAATCAGACAATAGTGCTTAATGTTTTGTTGATTATTTTATAGACTAAGCCAGCTAATCTTGAAACTGGAATTCCTGCAGACTGGATGGTAATTAGAAACATTTGTGTAGTTTGTTGTTTTCATCTGGCATCTACTTGTATATTTACAGTTTATGTAATCTGTTTCTTATATGTTTGCAGTGGGTAACATTTTAGCTTTGAGACAATGTTTGCGATAGTCTATTTGTACTTTTATTTGGTCATAACTTTGCTGTTTGCTATTCTATGCAAGTATTACTGACTGAGTTTCAACTGAATAAAAATAGTCCAATATGCATTTTTTTTTCCTGAACAAGTCTAAGCACACAATGATCACCATTTCTGTGAATAACTCTCTATAGGGACTGGATATTGGGCCTGAAAGTGTCAAGAAATTCAAGGAAGTAGTGATGCAAGCTAAAACTATTGTTTGGAATGGGTAAGGCTGAGTTGTTTTCTATTCAATCTAGATAACTAAGAGACGAAAATAACTTCAACTTTTACAGAAGTCATTAAATAAAAGTTGTGTGTGTATGTATATTGCAGTCCAATGGGTGTCTTTGAAATGGCTAAATTTGAAGTAGGAACCAAAGGTATTATGGATGCAGTTGTGGCAGCAACAAAAGCTGGTGCCTCGTCTATTATAGGTACGTTAACATTCAGAGGCCTGTCTCTTGCAATTCCCAATGGTTTAACAGTGGCCCAGAAAGCTGTTGTTTACATTCAAGACACATGTTTCAATAGTTTTGCAAATATTATGATAAAAATGTCATTTACTTTATTTACTTCTTATTATTCACCCTTTTACCCTTAATTACAGCAAGAATAAACCAAACCTGAGAATTGGAGTGGGTGTTCTTGTGTGTGGCTACGCTGGGCAGTGTTTTCTTGAATAAGTGTACTGAGTGAATGAGCAATTGAATAGATCAAAACACTTGTTTTTTGAAACTAAAAATAAGATAGTGGGTCGGGTTATTAGGATGTCTCTGTTTCTTTCTCCTATTTCTTTTACTTACACCACAATCACTGTACATTAATTCAGTGGTTACTGAACATTATTGTTAGGTGGAGGTGATACTGCAACATGCTGTGCTAAGTATGGTACAGAAGAACTGGTCAGTCACGTCAGTACTGGGGGAGGTGCTTCCCTTGAGCTCTTGGAAGGTAAATATCTTTGATTTTCTTGATCTAGAGGAATATTATTAAGAAACTAAATTTTGCGTTTTTTATGTCGGTTGTGTGGAATTTTTTATGTCGTCTGTTTGAAATGAGGATTGTGCCGCTTAGCACACATGGTAATCTTCTGTGGCCATACGAATTCCACAAAATAAAACACATAAGATCATAGAACACTATCGCTACTCCTGCTAGTATCCTTGTTTTCCATGCTGTGAATGTAACTACTGCTTGCCTGTATAATTTACTCTATAATGATGGTTTGTCCATCTTAAAGTGTCTGCAGTACGTAGTATCCAATTATGCAGGAAATAATATGATAAACTATATGTAAATAATAATTATTTACATATTATAGTAATACTTTATTCCATTCCTTGGGATCAAAGCTGAAGAAAAATATGTGTTGTTTTATTTGTAGGTAAGACTCTCCCAGGAGTGGCTGCTCTTTCGGACGCATGACTAGATAAATTAAGCCACCTTTAAACCAAAGCCTCATTGACGACTGAAGAATGTAAAATAAATTTACTTAGTAGATGATACAACGTATGAAATGTAACAAGAACTCGACAAGATTTTCTGTTGGTGAGTGCAACATATTCCCCGTGAAACCTCAACATACTTTCAGCAAGGTGGTCGCCTTGCCAGGCAATTCTTGTTTGTGTGCAAAGTTCTCTTACACATTAATGGGTACTATGATTGGTTGCTGCAGACATTAATAATTCATTCAACAATAATCATCGATGCCTGAGATGTTGATTGTATGTATGTTATTAATCCTGACTGGCAGCAGTATATGTATTTGATGGTTAAACAAAATAATTTCAAATGCAAGTGAGGAAATGAAGAATTAAGTCTGCAGTGGGTTGTCCATATGTTGAAAATTAGGCCAGTTACACAGCAGTGGGTCTAAAATACAGGTAATTTAACACAGGTAAGAGTACAGCACCAAGTGTCTCCTAGCCCTAATCTCTACAAAAATGTTGTTTTAGATCGAGGGGAACCTGTTTCGCTTAGTAATTTATCCACAGAGCAGTGACTTCTACTCTGACCCGTGGAATGTGACCTGTACTTCAGACCCGGCAGGCAGGGGAATGTTTACAGGGTGTGAAGAAAGTCAGTTTTACAGCTTGCCATTCGGGCAGGCTGCACCTAGCATGTACTAGCCCACAAGTTAATTCAACTAGCCTGAAAAAAAAATCAATCAGCAGGATTGGTTATAGTTCTTCTGTAACTTGAATTCCCCCAAAATAATCAGAATTCACTAGCCTGATAGCAAAATACAGTAGCCCCTGGCTATCGGCCACCACTTTCTTTGCACGCTGGTTTAATAAGTTTAAAATGGGAGGCGCATACAATCGTTTTAAAACTCGGAAAAAACTCACGAACTGCTCGGGTGTGTTGGGTATGCACATTAGAGATTGACCTGGGCCTCGCATGGCTTTTCATCCTGAACCTCACTTCCATATCATATGCTTCCCTCCCCAGTGGTCACCTGTTTTATTTCCTTTGTGAGCATGCACGTGAATTAGGGCAAGAGCAAAAAGAGTAAGAAAGATAGAGGAAGGGAAGGGGAAAT